ACACACATATAATGCACACACATACTAAACACACACTACACATAAATAATGCACAAACATGCACACAATGTGCACACACACACACACACACACACACGGTGTACATGCACACACATAGATGGCACACACACTACACACATATAATGCACACACACACATACTACACACTTATAATGCACACACACACACACACACTACACACATATAATGCACACATACACACGCATACTACACACATATAATGCACACACACACACACACACACATACTACACACTTATAATGCACACACACACACACACACTACACACATATAATACACACACACACACACACACACACACACACACACACATACTACACACATATAATGCACACACACACACACACATACTACACACTTATAATACACACACACACACACACACACACACACACACACACACGCATACTACACACATATAATGCACACACACACACACACACTACACACATAATGCACACATACACACACGCATACTACACACATATAATGCACACACACACACACACACACACACACACACACATATATATACTACACACATATAATGCACACAGACACATACTACTCACACACACACATACAGAATGTGTACACACAAATAGAGGTGGCACAAACACACACACACACACACACACACAGGGTCTGAACGACAGCGCTGAAGCTTCATCTGAAGTCTGCTCCGGTGATCATGTGACAGACGAGGTAATAATGTTTCAGCTGACGCAAGACTTTAATTCTCTAACGATGTTCTGGCACAGAAATAAAAGCCCACAGATCAAACTGACACACTTCAGACGAGGAGACACACACTCACACACACACTCACACACTCACGCTCAAGAATAGAGAAGCTGCAGAGCACAGCAGAACACATTCACATTCATGCATTCGCCAAACACTGAGAGCAGATTTCTTCAACACATTTCTGAACATAAGCGTTTTAATAACTCATCTCTAGTCACAGATTTCTTTTCTCTTTGCCATGATAACAGCACATAATATTAGACTAGATATTCTTCAAGATACTGGGGGAAATCTGAAATCCCAGTGGAAACCCATGCCAACACGGGGAGAACATGCAAACTCCACACAGAAACAGCAACTGACCCAGCCGAGCCTTGAACCAGCGATCTTCTTGCTGTGAGGCCACAGTGCTAACCACTGAGCCACCATGACGCCGCTTTACTAGAGCTACATAACTTATTTACTAATTTAATAATTTTGCTTTCAACTAAATCACAAAATATTGAAAATTATTAATTTATGGGTGTATATATACTCACCGGCCACTTTATTAGGTACACCTGTCCAACGGCTCAATAGCGCAAATGTCTAATCAGCCAATCACATGGCGGCAGCTCACTGCATTTAGCCATGTAGACATGGTCAAGAGGAAATCTCCAGTGAGCGGCAGTTCTGTGGGCGCAAATGCCTTGTTGATGCCAGAGGTCAGAGGAGAATGGCCAGACTGGCTCCAGCTGATAGAAAGGCAACAGTAACTCAAATAAGCACTCGTTACAACCGAGCTCTGCAGAAGAGCATCTCTGAACACACAACACGTCCAACCTTGAGGCGGATGGGCTACAGCAGCAGAAGAGCACACCGGGTGCCGCTCCTGTCAGCTAAGAACAGGAAACTGAGGCTACAATTCACACAGACTCACCAAAACTGGACAATAGAAGATTGGAGAAACGTTGCTGCTCTGATGAGTCTCCATTTCTGCTGCACATTCGGATGCTCGGCTCACAATTTGGCCTCAACAACATGAAAGCATGGATCATCCTGCCTTGTATCAGCGGTTCAGGCTGGTGGTGGTGGTGTAATGGTGTGGGGGAGATTTTCTTTGGGTCCATTAGTACCAATTGAGCATCAACGCCACAGCCTACCTGAGTATTGCTGCTGACCATGTCCATCCCTTTATGAGCACAGTGTCTCCATCTTCTGATGGCAGCAGGATAACGCAGCATGTCATAAAGCTCAATCATCTCAGACTGGTTTCTTGAACATGACGATGAGTTCACTGTACTCAAATGGCCTCCACAGTCACCAGAGCTCAATCCAATAGAGCAGCTTTGGGATGTGGTGGAACGGGAGATTGGCATCATGGATGTGCAGCCGACAAATCTGCAGCAACTGTGTGATGCTATCATGACAATATGGAGCAAAATCTCTTGAGGAATATTTCCAGTAGCTTGTTGAATCTACGCCATGAAGGATTAAGGCAGATCTGAAGGCAAAAGGGCTCCAACCGGTACTAGTAAGGTGTACCTAATAAAGTGACCGATGAGTGTGTAAGCTAGTGTTCCAAAACAGTGAAAAAATACACATTTAGAAGATATAAAAACAATATAAACACATAAAGCTTGTAGTTTATCTCCTCCGCCTAAACGGCGGATTAACGTTTTTATTGACGTCACCTCATACTTCAGTTTCTCTCAAATCTTCTGACCAATCAAATGCTTTCTAGTGTCTGACAAGCCCCGCCCCCTTCAAGACACTTCACATTTGATGCACTTGAGCTCAACCACTTACTAGCAAAGCAGCGATAAAACAAAACCCTATTGGTAGTTTTTAAAAAGGGGAGGAGCTACGCCAAGTCCCGCCCTCTCTTCATGTTTTGGTTGAGATTACGTCAGACATCGAATATAAAATGCACATTTCAAATCTGCTAATGATCTCGTGTTAATGGTGTGTTTTGTGCAGGTGATGAGCCAGGCGGAAGGCCAGCAGAAGAGTCTGGTGCAGTCTATCGAGTGTCTGCCGACGCGAGGGTCCGTCTCCTGTCTGGATCAGGACCTGCTACTCCTAAAGGCCACGTCTGCAGCCACGCTAAGCTGCCTCGGAGAATGCCTGACTATATTACAGCAGAGCACCGGACACAACAACAACAGCAGCAGCAGCGCTCTAGTCGCTCACAACCGCGGTGAGTCCAATGCGGACAGCCAGCAGAGCGACGCGGCCAAAGATCAGGGCTCAGAGCTCGACTGCGGCCCCTGCCCCTACCTCACGGGGCCCATGCAGATTAACGTGTGCAATAAATGCTGTTGAAGGGCTGTTCCGCATGCTTGTTCACCGTCTGTATGAGTTCATCTGTATTTCCGCTCTTGGTTTGGTCATTCAGTTCTGTGCCTGATTGTATCATTTGTATTTGTGCGTTTGGTTTTTGCGTCCCCTTAATGCATGATCAGTGTGAGTGTTTGGGAATCTGCTGTTCAATGCTGGATGAACCACATGCCAAAGAAACACACAGGTGCCTCCAACCCACTGTGGTGGATCCGAGCGTTCAGATCACCCTGATTTGGACTCAGGTGCTCCACGTGCTTTCATTTTTGATTTTATGTTGTCGCATTTTGGTTCATTTTTTTTGGTTTAATGTTGATTCAAGAGCGAACTCTTCGATGCCAATGGACACATTTGAGTCTTTCGGACTTGAGAGCTCAAAGACTGACCTGAATGCTGTATTTTTGATGATTTTTTTCTGAATGCTGTTCTGCAGATCTCAGGTTCTGTTCCTTTTCTTTTGATGAAAAGTGTTTCATTTCAGCCGGTTTAATGCTGTCTTTCTTCAGTTTTGTAAAGTATATTTTCTCTTTTCTCTGAGAGCAAAAAGTGCTTGTTCTTCTCTTGCCTTGACTGCTTCACATTGAGGTGAAAATGGACTGAATCCAAAAGCCGATCGCTCTGAATGTTCCGGAAATGAATGAAATGAAATTAAAAATCCTGAGTTCAGACAACTCCTTCGATCTCTGGCTGAGGTCTGTTGTAGGCTAGCTATATTTATAAAGGGGTTGTGGCTAAGATTGGGTGGAGTCTTGGCAGGGGAAGGGCTATGAGGGGACTGTAACTATGGATGAGTCGAGTTTTGGCTATGGATGGGTGGGTTCTCAACTGGGCAAGGCTTTATTAGGGGCTTCTTTATTAGGGGCTTTAAGGGGGTGTGGCTTAGAATGGGTTGAATCTTGGCTAGGGCAGAGCTGTGAGTAGGAGTGGCTATGAATGGGTGGAGTCTTGGCTAGGGCAGAGCTGTTAGTGGGAGTGGCTATGAATGGGTGTACTCTTGGCTAGGAAAGGGATGTGAGGGGGTTGTAGCTATGGATAGGTGGAGTCTTGGCTAGGATGGGAATGTGGCTAAGAATGGATAGAGTCTTGGCAGGGGAAGGGCTGTGAGGGGATTGTTGCTATGGATGAGTCTTGGCTATGGATGGGTGGGTTCCTAACTGGGCAAGGCTATTTGGAGTCTTTATTAGGGGCTTTAAGGGGGTGTGGCTTAGAATGGGTGGAGTCTTGGCTAGGGCAGGTCTGTGAGAAAGTGTGTCTAAGAATGGGTGAAGTCTTGGCTAGGGGAGGGCAGTAAGGGTGTTGTACCTATGAATAGGTAGAGTCTTGGCAAGGATGGGGCTGTGGCTAAGAATTGGTGGAGCCTTGGCTAGGGCAGAGCTGTGAGTGGGAGTGGCTAAGAATGGGTGGAGTCTTGGCTAGGGCAGGACTGTGAGTGGGAGTGGCTATGAATGGGTGGAGTCTTGGCTAGGGAAGGGATGTGAGGGGGTTGTAGCTATGGATAGGTGGAGTCTTGGCAAGGATGGGGCTGTGGCTAAGAATTGGTGGAGCCTTGGCTAGGGCAGAGCTGTGAGTGGGAGTGGCTAAGAATGGGTGGAGTCTTGGCTAGGGCAGGACTGTGAGTGGGAGTGGCTATGAATGGGTGGAGTCTTGGCTAGGGAAGGGATGTGAGGGGGTTGTAGCTATGGATAGGTGGAGTCTTGGCTAGGATGGGGCTGTGGCTAAGAATGGGTGGAGCCTTGGCTAGGGCAGAGCTGTGAGTGGGAGTGGCTAAGAATGGGTGGAGTCTTGGCTAGGGCAGGACTGTGAGTGGGAGTGGCTATGAATGGGTGGAGTCTTGGCTAGGGAAGGGATGTGAGGGGGTTGTAGCTATGGATAGGTAGAGTCTTGGCTAGGATGGGGCTGTGGCTAAGAATGGGTGGAGTCTTGGCTAGGGCAGGGCTGTGAGTGGGAGTGGCTATGAATGGGTAAACTCTTGGCAAGGGCAGGGGTATGAGTAAGTGTGTCTAAGAATGGGTGGAGTCTTGGCAAGGATGGGGCTGTGACTAAGAATGGGTGGAGTCCTGGCTAGGGCAGAGCTGTAAGTGGGAGTGGCTATGAATAGGTAAAGTCTTGGCAAGGGCAGGGGTGTGAGTAAGTGTGTCTAAGAATGGGTGGAGTCTTGGCAAGAATGGGGCTGTGGCTAAGAATGGGTGGAGTCTTGGCTAGGGCAGGGCTGTGAGTGGGAGTGGCTATGAATGGGTAAAGTCTTGGCTCGGGGAGGGCTGTGAATGTGTTGTAGCTATGAATAGTTAAGAGTCTTGGCAAGGATGGGGCTGTGGCTAAGAATGGGTGGAGTCTTGGCTAGGGCAGGACTGTGAGTGGGAGTGGCTATGAATGGGTGGAGTCTTGGCTAGGGAAGGGCTGTGAGGGGGTTGTGGCTAAAGATGGGTCAAAGCTTGGCCAGGAAGGGGCTGTGAGTGGGTGTGGCTAAGAATGGGTGGAGTCTTGGCTAGGGTAGGGCTGTGAGGGGATTGTATCTATAGATGGGTGGAGTCTAAATAATTATTTTATTATACAAAATTTAAGTTGAGATTTGGAAATTTCCTTTGATTCAACTAAAATTTAGGCAGAAAGAATTTGTTTTACAGTTAACAGTTATTGAGGGGGTAAGTTGAGATGACTAATACAGTTTATTTAAATCAACAAAAACATTTTAGGCCTCAATTTTTTTTTTTTTTTTTTTGCATGTGCAAATGGTGTCATGAGTGGGCGAAGCCATGATGAGCTCTGAGTGTATTATGATTAGAGTGGGTGTGGCTCTATTAAATGGCGGGCGGAGGATCTAATAGTGGTGAAGCTGTGAGTGGATGGTGTTGAGAGTGGGTGTGGCTCTAGTATGGGGGCGGGGCTGTGAATGGTTGGTTCTCTGACATGGGCTGCAGTTCCTAACAAGAGGGAAACGCCAATCAGGTAAATACACACTCAGTGTTTGGTTTGGTTTTGTTGCATGATCTGTTTGTTTTTCATCACGATGATCAATCAGAACTCTCATCATGTGGTTCTGTTCTGATCTGCGCATGAGTGTTTCTCTGCATGGTTTGATTTCTACTACAGCTGTCTTGAGAACTTACTGTTATTCATTCAAAGTGATGCTGGATGTTGTCGAATGTTGAGCTGATGTGGTGAGTTTTGCTCTGTATATTTTCTGCATATGTAACTGTTAGCTATTTAAGCTGGGGAAGATGTTAGTTAATTCATATAGTCTCTTGGTTAAAGTGTTAAATGCTGTAAATAGTCACCATAAGAGATTGATGTCAGTTTTCAGAGTTTCTGATGAGCCTATTTAGCCTTTATCTCATGCACGCTTACGCATAGAAAAATTCTAATTTATAAATGTTTTTTTGCTAACATTTATAAAGGGTCAGTTCATTTTAAAAGAATCTTTAGTGAGGTTTTTTATTCATAGTATATATAATAAAACATGTACATTAGTGCAGTGTATTTAAAAAAAAACTATTAACTAATATTGTTTTCATTAACTGCTAAAGTAGTAGTGCACAAATTTTTTTGTATTATCCCTAGACCTAAAGTCATATCTACCTAAACATGAATGATCTACAGCTTTCAGGGCCACATTATGTGTCCTTCCTCTTTTTTTAATGCAAAACGTCACAGATCTACATCTCAGTCCTGTGATAGGTTGTACATGGCTGAAAGTAATGGATAAACGTGACATCTGCTGATCAGAAATATTATGAGAACAGATGCCAAGTTCATCCAGACCTGATGATGCATTGATCATGCGAATTTATGCGATGAAACCGATTTAGTCTCTGCATCTGAACAAGAGCTTAAAAACAAGACCCTTTCAAAACACACTGAACTGCTGCCAGACTCTCAGTGTCCAATGCAGCCATCATTGTTATTTTTATTAATGTAAATATCTGCAAAGTACTTCCAATGGAGGTTATAGCAGCATGTGCTGTTTGTATTGAAAGGTGCCCCCCACCCACATGAAGAAATACTATAGTCATTTAAAATAAATACTACAGTGTTTTTGATCCGTACTAAACTGTATTACACTGTATGTATTATAGTATTTACAACAATTTGTTAATTTGTGATCTAGTATACCGTACTTACTACATCTGTCATCAAGATCATCTGTAATAAGTACTGTTGAATACTTTAGTTTTTACTACAGTAAACTGTGATGTAGTATAATTGCACCCTACAGTCATAGAAAACTACAGTATTGGGTCATTTGTTTATATTACTGTAGTTGTTGCGTTACCATAGCAACTATAGAATCACCACAACAGATTAATTCGAAAACGTTACTATAGTTGTTGTGTTACCATAGCAACTATAAAATCACCACAACAGATTAATTCGAAAATGTTTCTATAGCTGTTGTGTTACCATAGCAACTGTAGAATCACCACAACAGATTAATTCGAAAACGTTACTATAGCTGTTGTGTTACCATAGCAACTGTAGAATCACCTCAATAGATTAATTCAAGTACTTTACTATAGTTGTGTTACCATAGCAACTATAAAATCACCACAACCAGATTAATTCGAAAACGTTACTATAGCTGTTGTGTTATCATAGCAACTGTAGAATCACCACAATAGATTAATTCGAAAACGTTACTATAGCTGTTGTGTTACCATAGCAACTGTAGAATCACCACAACAGATTAATTCGAAAACGTTATAGCTGTTGTGTTACCATAGCAACTATAGAATCACCACAACAGATTAATTCGAAAACGTTACTATAGCTGTTGTGTTACCATAGCAACTGTAGAATCACCACAACAGATTAATTCAAGTACTTTACTATAGTTGTGTTACCATAGCAACTATAAAATCACCACAACCAGATTAATTCGAAAACGTTACTATAGCTGTTGTGTTACCATAGCAACTGTAGAATCACCACAATAGATTAATTCGAAAACGTTACTATAGCTGTTGTGTTACTATAGCAACTGTAGAATCACCACAACAGATTAATTCGAAAACGTTACTATAGCTGTTGTGTTACCATAGCAACTGTAGAATCACCACAACAGATTAATTCAAAAACGTTACTATAGCTGTTGTGTTACCATAGCAACTGTAGAATCACCACAATAGATTAATTCGAAAACGTTACTATAGCTGTTGTGTTACCATAGCAACTGTAGAATCACCACAATAGATTAATTCAAAAACGTTACTATAGCTGTTGTGTTACCATAGCAACTGTAGAATCACCACAATAGATAAATTCAAGTACTTTACTATAGTTGTTGCGTTACCGTAGCAACTATAAAATCAGCACAACAAATGAAATCATGTGTTACTGTAGTATAGTTCAAAAACACTATAGTATTTACTGTAAATGACTACAGCATTTTATCATGTGAATCTGCTGAAAATATTGTCGAAACCAGCCTGATGTGTTTTGGCTGATTGTTTTCCTCTACACTTGTGTTGTATTTGTGTATCAGGCTGGTCTCCGCTGTGTTTTCAGCAGGAGGATCAGCGCTGATGATGGACTGATTGATCTGATTTTGAGCTTGACGTCATGTGTGACTGCTGACCGCTGCTCATGTGCTCTTCATTCCCGCAGATAATGTTCCTGTATGGACCGTCCCGAAGTCGCCTTCAGGAGAGCGTCTGAGGAACGGCGGCGCTGCAAACCTGTGCTCCACAGAGCCCTCGCCCACCTTCAGGAAGAAAAGCCTGCTGCAGAACACTGAGGTAAAGCCATGACTATTCACATTAAAAATGAGTAAAAGTTTGTGGAGTAGAAGTGTTCGGTGCTTATTAAGGTTGCTTTTATTTTAATTTAGAGTAGAATGTAATTACAAAGGTTATTTATTGTCATTATTTAATGTCACAGTGGCGTAGTGGGTAGCGTGATCGCCTCACAGCAAGAAGGTCACTGGTTCGAGCCCCAGCTGGGTCAGTTGTTGTGTGGAGTTTGCATGTTCTCTCCATGTTGGCGTGGGTTTCCTCCGGGTGCTCCGGTTTCCCCCACAGTCCAAACACATGCGCTATAGGGGAATTGATTAACTAAATTGGCCGTAGTGTATGAGTGTGTGTTTGAATGAGTGTCTATAGGTGTTTTCCAGTACTGGGTTGCAGCTGGAAGAGCATCCAATGTGTAAAACATATACTGGAATAGTTGGTGGTTCATTCCGCTGTGATGACCCCTGATAAATAAGGGACTAAGCTGAAGGAATGAATACATTTTTTTTTCTTATTTTATTACATCATATATTACTGTAGTTGTTGTGTTACCATAGCAACTACAGAATGACCACAACAGATTAATTCATGTACTTTACTATAGTTATTGTTACCATAGAAACTGTAGAATCACCAAAACAGATTAATTTAAATTATTTACTGTAGCTGTTGTGTTACCATAGCAACTATAGAATCACCTCAACAGATTAATTCAAGTACTTTACTATAGCTGTTGTTACCATAGCAACTGTAGAATCACCACAACAGATTAATTTAGTTACTTTACTATAGTTGTTGTTACCATAGCAACTATAGAATCACCACAACAGATTAATTCAAGTACTTTACTATAGCTGTTGTTACCATAGCAACTGTAGAATCACCACAACAGATTAATTTAGTTACTTTACTATAGTTGTTGTTACCATAGCAACTGTAGAATCACCTCAACAGATTAATTCAAGTACTTTACTATAGCTGTTGTTACCATAGCAACTATAGAATCACCACAACAGATTAATTCAAATTATGTACTGTAGTTGTTGTTACCATAGCAACTATATTTTCAATATATTTGATTAAATGTGTATTTTGTAATTGATGCATTTGTCTCAGAGCGTGTATATGATATGTGTGTTTGGCTGCAGGATGGGATGGAGCTGATTTCTCCTGATGAGGAGGTGCTGGATTCAGACGATAACACTGAGGAGGATCTGGGAGTTCTGGAGGAGGAGCGGAGCGTCATTCTGCATCTGCTGTCTCAGCTCAAACTGGGCATGGACCTCACACGGGTGAGGATCACAACATAAACAACATCAATAATTGACCAATGCTGCAGCTTTTTCACAACTGTAGAGTGTATTATACTACAATACACCACTGTTTACTGTAGTAAACACTAAAGTGTCATTGGTGTCTGAAGTGTCTCTATGAAAGGTGAAGGCCTCTAGATTTAGCTTATTTGAGCACAATAAAATCTGATCATGCCTTGATTATTAATGATTTCATTAGGACAGTGCGGTCTGACTCTGCTCAGACTAAAGTCTCATCACTGAACAGAAATAATGTCCAGTATAGAATATAAAGTCCTGCTGCAGTGGAGACAGAATGAATATTGTGTCTGACTCCATCATGAGCTTGGAGGACTGCATCCATACATTTCTGACACGACTCAAACCACTGATTAATAAAGTCATCTGGAATGGCAAAGAAAGCCTTCATGCAGGACTCCCAGAGTTCATCAAGAGTCTTTGTGTTCATCTTCAACCCCTCCTCCTTCATCTTACCCCAGACATGCTTAATAATGTTGATGTCTGGTGACTGGGATGGCCAAGCTTGACCTTCTCCGCTTTCAAGAGCTTTTTTTTATATTGTATTTATTTTTTCCTTTTTCAAAACAATAAAAAAAACAAAAAATAAAAAATCAATAAAAAAAAAACAAACAGACATTTTTAAAGGAACATGGAAACAAAAAAGACACAATAAAAGTGTCAAAGGTCACCGAATACAATCTTATTGACATTCATATTTATTGTTGATAATATGTTGCTATATCAAATTTTATTAAGGGTTACATGTTAAAGATTAACAGCCTCCAAACATATATAAAGTAAAAGCACCACAATGAAATGAAAACAGTACATTTCTTCTCAACCATTTACCCCAGGATGCAGACATTTTATAGGCTTGTTGTCTCAAGGGAAATGTCAGGACTTCCACCTCTTTAATAATATCATACCACTCGCCTACAGATGGAGGATCTTCCTTGAGCCATTTCTTTGTAATTGCCTTTTTGCTACATTTACATTTAGTCATTTAGCAGACGCTTTTATCCAAGGCGACTTACAAATGAGGACAAGGAAGCAACTTACACAACTATAAGAGCAACAATGAATAAGTGCTGTAGGCAAGTTTCAGGTGTGTAAAGTGTAAGAAGCAAAACATTAGTCATTTTTTTTAATGTAGTTAGTGTGATATTCAGAGAGGCAATTGCAGATTAGGAAGGGAAGTGGAGACTAAATAGTTGAGTTTTTAGTGGTTCCTTGAAGACAGCGAGTGACTCTGCCGTTCTGATGCAGTTAGGGAGTTCATTCCACCAACTGGGCAGATTGAACGCGAGAGTTCAGGAAAGTGATTTCTTCCCTCTTTGGGATGGAACCACAAGGCGACGTTCATTCACAGAATGCAAGTTTCTGGAGGGCACATAGATCTGCTGAAGTGAGAGCAGATAAGAAGGAGCAAAGCCAGAAGTCGCTTTGTAAGCAAACATCAGAGCTTTGAATTTGATGCGAGCAGCAACTGGCAGCCAGTGCAAAGGGATGAGCAGCGGAGTGACATGTGCTCTTTTAGGTTCATTAAAGACCACTCGTACTGCTGCGTTCTGAAGCAGCTGAAGAGGTTTGATAGAGTTAGCTGGGAGCCCGGCTAGTAGAGAGTTGCAATAGTCCAGTCTGGAGAGAACAAGAGCTTGAACAAGGAGTTGAGCTGCATGTTCAGATAGGAAGGGTCGGACCTTTCTGATATTATAGAGTGCAAATCTGCAAGATCGAGCAGTTCTAGAAATGTGGTCAGAGAAGTTTAGCTGGTCATCAGTCATTACTCAAAGGCTAGTTATTAGTAGTGTGTTAAGAAGATGTCCACTTATCAGTACATTTTGGGATAAGGTATTTCAAACGATCTCAGGATTGTGTGAGGTGTTTATTCCTAAATATCCCAATATCTGTTTATTGAGTGATGATTATGACCTAAACTTAAACACTTTCCAACGCAGAATATTTCACACTGCACTAACTACAGCCAAGATGGTTGTAAGTACATTTAGACTTGTACTTAATAATATTGCTCTGTTAAATCGTTCTACAGCAAGAATTAACAGAGCTAATCCCCAAACCGTCAAAGCATGGTCTGAATTTATTAAGAAAATGTATTATATAATAACTAGATAAACTAAAGCATACTGAAAGATAAATAATATTAGATTAGAAGTGTATAAAGCTCACTTCTCACCCCAGAGTTTTTCTGTTCCTGTGTATTTTATTATTTTTATTTTATTATTATTTTTTTATATGTATTTTCATTTAATGCAAAAAGAATTGTCCCTCTCCTGTGGTTTGTAATGTAATGGGCAGCACAGATGTCTTGACACCTCAGGCTGTTGATGTTGCAGATCTCTCGCACGCCCCCATACTGAATGACCCCCAAACCATGACTTCTCCTTCACCAAGCTTGACTGATTTCTCTGAGAATCTTGCTCGATGTGGGTTCCAGTAGGTCTTCTGCAGTATTGGTGATGAGTGGGATGCAGATCAGCAGATGATTCATCTGAAATATCCACCTTCTGACACTTTTACACACGATCAACTAGAAGACCAGTTATTATGTGTTGCTCTGAAGACTTTGGTCAAGTAGTCTATAGTATCTTCAAGTGTGTTTGCTTTTTAAAGTTATTTTAACTGTGTGTGTTTTGCGCAGGTTGTTCTTCCCACATTCATCCTGGAGAAGCGTTCACTGCTGGAGATGTATGCGAACTTTATGGCTCACCCGGATCTGTTTCTGTCCATCTCTGCTGGCGTCACGGCGGAGGAGCGGATGGTGCGCTTCGTGGAGTATTACATGACCGCCTTCCATGAAGGACGCAAAGGAGCCGTCGCCAAAAAACCCTACAACCCGGTGCTGGGCGAGACCTTCCGCTGCTCATGGGAGGTGCCTCAAGAGAAAGTCCGCCCTCTGAGGACTCCAGGGACTGGGCCCAAGGAGACGGCCAATGAGGAGGGGGTGGGGGCGGAGTCGGAATGTTACAGGGTGCATTTTGTGGCAGAGCAGGTTTCCCATCATCCTCCGGTGTCTGCGTTTTACTGTGAGTGCGCGGAGAGAGGGATGTGCGTAAACACACACGTCTGGACCAAGAGCAAGTTCATGGGCATGTCTGTCGGAGTCTCCATGGTGGGAGAAGGTGGGTGATGCTCACTTTATTCATTCATTCATTTATTTTCCGCTTAATCCCTTTATCAGAGGTCGCCACAGCAGAATGAACCGCTAACTATTCCAGCATATGTTTTACAGTGTTAAACACCCATACACTCTTGCACACACACTCATACACTACGGCCGATTTAGTTAATCAGTTCCCCAATAGCGCATGTGTTTGGACTGTGGGAGCACCCGGTTGTGAAGCTGAATGTGTGTAGTGTTTCCTCCTCAGGTGTGTTGTACCTGCGGGATCACGGCGAGGAGTACGTGTTCACTTTCCCCAGCGCGTTCGCCCGCTCCATCCTCACTGTGCCCTGGGTGGAGCTCGGAGGAAAAGCCACCATCAGCTGCGCCAAGAGCGGATACTCGGCCAGCGTCACCTTCCACACCAAACCCTTCTACGGCGGGAAACTGCACAGGTCAATCAGGCTTCATACATCATGATAATAAACATCACTGTGGAGTATGCATGGGCCGGTATAAGATTCTGATGGTATGATAACCGTGGATAACAATCTGATTTCACTGTATCATGATTACTGCTCTGAAAAAAGCTCTCTTTAAATGTCTGGGTAAAAACCGACAACCTATTTAACGTTGAACACAACACTGCAATGTTCACGTCCTGAGCGTGCTTGGATATCGGTTTATAAGCGAATTGTTTTTCAATTGTTTGCTGCTATTCTAACTTAAGAGATCTTGTCTTGTTTCTAGTCGAAATATCAATTTTTTTTCAAATCAAGAAGCTTTTTCTAGACAAATATTGAAGCAATGGTGATTCTTTAGTTGCTATGGTAACAACTACTATAGTAAATAATTTGAATTAATCTGTTTTGGTGATTCTATAGTTGCTATGGTAACAACAACTATAGTAAAGTACGCAAATTAATCTGTTTTGGTGATTCTATAGTTGCTATGGTAACAACTACTATAGAAAAGTACATTAATTAATCTGTTGTGGTGATTCTGTAGTTGCTATGGTAACAACTACTATAGTAAAATACTTGAATTAATCTGCTGTGGTGTTTCTACAGTTGCTATGGTAACAACAACTATAGTAAAGTACATTAATTAATCTGTTGTGGTGATTCTACAGTTGCTATTTTAACAACAACTATATTAAAATACTTAAATGAATCTGTTTTGGTGATTCTACAGTTGCTATGGTAACAACAACTGTAGCAAAGTACATGAATTAATCTGTTGTGGTGATTCTACAGTTGCTATGGTAACAACAACTGTAGCAAAGTACATGAATTAATCTGTTGTGGTGATTCTACAGTTGCTATGGTAACAACAACTATAGTAAAGTACGTGAATGAATCTGTAGTGGTGATTCTGTAGTTGCTATGGTAACAAAAACTAGTAAAATACTTGAATCAATCTGTTTTGGTGATTCCACAGTTGCTATGGTAGCAACAACTATAGTAAAATTCGTGAATTAATCAGTTGTGGTGATTCTACAGTTGCTATGGTAACAACAACTATAGTAAAGTACGTGAATTAATCTGTTGTGGTGATTCTACAGTTGCTATGGTAAATATTGATAAAGAGAAGCTCAGAGATTGCAACAAAAAAAGTCAGGGTTTCTTCAAGATTATATTGGTAACAGTGAAGTCACGGTCCAGCGCTGATGCTTATATCAAAGATAACACTCTGAAATGATGGTGGTGAATGCGTGTTTCAGGGTGAGCGCAGAAGTGAAGCAGAACTCCAGCGGGACGGTGGTGTGTAAAGCTCAGGGCGAGTGGAACGGGACGCTGGAGTTCACATACAGCAGCGGAGAAACCAAAGTCATCGACACTACAAAACTGCCCGTCATCAGGAAGAGGATTCGGCCAGTGGAGAAACAGAGCCGCAGAGAGTCCAGGTGAGACTCGCAGACACACACTGCTCTTATCTGATCACAGATACTGTAAAATATTAATACATTTTACAATAGACGATGTTTAGGTGAATATATCACAATGTTTAATTTCTTAAATTGATTCAAAGCTTATTTGAAAATTGTTTATTTTAACATTTTTAAACATCATAACTTCAGAAAACAGATTTTCAACTATTCCAGCATATGTTTTACACAGCAGATGCCCTTCCAGCTGCAACCCAGTAATGGGAAACACCCATCCACACTCATCCCCACACACTCATACACTAAGGCCAGTGTAGTTAATCAGTTCCCCTATAGCGCATGTGTTTGGACTGTGGGGGAAACTGGAGCACCCAGAGGAAACCCACACCATCACAGGGAGAACATGCAAACTCCACACAGAAATGCCAACTGAGCCAGCCGGGACTTGAACCAGCGAAGTTCTTGCTGTGGCAACACAGTGCTGACCATTGAGCACACAGCAGTAAATCACTGTAATAAATGACATTTCACATTACATTTACGTAAACTGCAGCTTATTCAAATAATATTTAAGAAATTGTTTTGGTTTTTATAATAGTGTAGTATGCTTTCTTAAGCTTTGTAACTTGTCAATCAGTCGTGATATTGCGCTGTTGTGTGTGTTTTGGAGCTCAGGCGTCTCTGGCAGCACGTGACTGAAGCGCTGAAAGAAGGAAACGTGGATCTGGCCACCGAACACAAGCATCTGCTGGAGGAGGACCAGCGCTCGGAGGAGAAACAGAGAGCTGCCGACAACATGCCCTGGAAACCCAAATACTTCAGCAAAGAGGTGAACAAAAACATACTACTGCAACAGACCCACATGAACAAAAATACTATAGTCATGTAGAGTGAGTACTACAGTGTTTTTGAATTATACTCTATATATTGTTGTATTTACAGCATGCTCCAGCGTACTTTCATGAACCTAAAAGAGCACATGTCACTCATCCGTTTGCACTGGCTGCCAGTTGCTGCTCGCATCGGGCTTTTCATTTTAATATTGGCAGTCTAGACGCGGAAATGCAGTGAAAATGAAATGTTAAAGTGGCAACTTCACTTTAATTATCAACTTGACAGAGACGATGTGTTGTCAAAGTGAAAATGAAAATTAAATAATTTAATTTTGTTTTCAATTTTGGCAGATATTTTGCGAACAGTGTTTTAAAATGAAATTGTTAATCTGATTTTCATTTTCATTTCCAATGTTTATTTGATTTATTTTAGTTTGGCAGGATTTACCTTCCATAATGACTCAGTCTTCCATTCAGAAAGACATTTTTGAATGAATCAGTTGTTTGAACAACTCAATTAAATGAATCATTCAATGACAAAGACGGAGACTCGGCTCCACCTACTGGCAGTTTTAGTTCCAAATCTCATAACATTTTTATTAATAATTTCATTGCAATTACGCCACCTCCTACGCCTTGTTTAACAATTTATAATTAAACAGTAAATTTGTCTAAATGCTAACTTTATTTTTTTCTTTGCCGTTGTGTCAAGAGGACTTTTGTTGGTTTAATCTGGTTGTAAGATGTTGTTCCTGGTATTTTTTCAGTTCATATTAAAAAGCTCATGTAGTTGGGCCACATAAGGTAAACAAAGTTTAAATAAAAAGGTAAATTCATATTTAGTCAGTCAAACAGTTGCTGGTAGTCAAAAACTTACATTGTCAATTAATTAACTGACCTTTTTAATTTCATGATTTTCCTTAAAACGACATGCTTAAGATTGTTAAAGGTTGGTGGTTGTGTATTTATTAATGTATTTAGACCTATTTTGTCATCATTGTGTGTGTAGCTACAGGACACCACCCCCATTCTATCCCCCTTGAAATGTTATTACAATTTGAACGCTGAGTATGTGTATATATATTTTTTATTTTTTTAATTAATTGGAAATGTAATGTCTGTCTGCAGGGTGATGGATGGGTCTACATAAACCCGCTGTGGAAAACACACTGAGATAAATGACAAACTGCCGATCGGACAAACACAGGGACTGAAAACTAACTGGAGCCACATGCTGGACTATAATGAAGCATTCTGATGCATCACTGTACAGAAATCAATATGTGTATAAACACAGACACCTAGAATAGACCTTTTATACACTTGTATAAATTGTATTATTTTTCACGATTATCTTAACCAAGCCTTTGTGGATATTTATTTCACATGTACATGGTATTAATGTGATCTGCCATTTAGATGATTTAACAACGAGATTGTGGACAAGATGTTCATGTTTAAGATTTACATCTTAAAAGCAGCTCATAATTCACCCCAAAAATCAAAAGGAAAAAAGTTTTATTGGATTTAAAAACTATCTATGTGTGTAAAATCAATATATAATGAATAATTACACTTACAAAATATTTTTGCACTGTGAAATCTTAATCAATATTGAATATTTCCCAGCAGAATTATCATTATGCCAGTAAAGTATTTTATTACCATTAGATAATAAATGCCTATTGTATATAAACATAACTTCAAAGTAACACAACAAAGTATAAAGAAATTATGGTTAAATAATAAGGTTTCTTGTTTAGTTTTTTCCACCATGTCATATTTGTTTTCCTCTGACATATTAACAACTATTGAAAGGTTTCAGGTCTTTAAATAAAATGTTATAATAAACCCTAAACCAACACTATATAAAAATACTGGGTTGTCATAACCCAACGTTGGGTCAAATATGGACAAACGTTGGGTTACCCTGTTGAAAAATCCAGCTTAAACCAGCCTAGGCTGGTTGGCTGGTTTTAGCTGGTCGACCAGGCTGGTTTTAGAGGGGTTTTGGCCATTTCCAGGCTGGTTTCCAGCCAATTCCAGCCTGGTCTTAGCTGGTCAGGCTGGAAGATGACCAGCTAAAACCAGCTTGACCAGCCTAGCCAAGCTGGGAGTCCAGCCAAAACCAGCTATATCCACCTTAAACCAG